GTGGACCTGAGAAAGCATGGCTAACAACAAGGCCAGTGGAGGTGATGGCATTCCAGTTGAACTGTTTAAAATCTTAAAAGATAATGCTGTTAAGGTGCTACATTCAATATGCCAGCAAGTTTGGAAAACTCAGCAGTGGCCAGAGGATTGGAAAAGATGAGTCTACATCCCAATCCCAAAGAAGGGCAGTGCCAAAAAATGCTCCAACTACTGTACAATTGCACTCATTTCATATGCTAGCAAGGTTATGCTCAAAATCCTCCAAGGTAGGCTTCAGCAGTACATGGACCAAGAACTCCCAGAAGTGCAAGCTGGATTTCGAAGGGGCAGAGGAACTAGAAACCAAATTGCTAACATGCGCTGGATTATGGAGAAAGCCAGAGAGTTCCAGAAAAACATCTACTTCTGCCTCATTGACTATGCAAAAGCCATTGACTGTGTGGACCACAGCAAACTATGGCAAGTCCTTAAAGAAATGGGAGTGCCTGATCACCTTATCTATCTCCTGAGAAATCTATATGTGGGACAGGAAGCAACAGTTAGAACTGGATATGGAACAACTGATTGGTTAAAAATTGGGAAATGAGTATGACAAGGCTGTATATTGTCTCCCTGCTTATTTAACTTATATGCAGAATACATCATATGAAAGGCAGGACTGGATGAATCCCAAGCCATAATTAAGATTGCTGGAAGAAATATCAACAACCTCAGATATGCAGATGATACCACTCTAATGGCAGAAAGTGAGGATGTCATGAGTTCAGCTGAAGAAGATCTGGAATTTGAGGGGTTAATTACAGCTGAGGAAAATGCTGGGCAATCAGAGTTGCAGACAGCTGAATCACCACCAGATTCTGCTCTCCCAGTTGCCAGAGTGAGGGATAAGCTTCGGCAAGGACTCATGACACGAAGGTCCAAAGCTCGCATGAATACTTCCCATAGGGGAACATCAGGTCAACCAGCCTTGAGTTTTAGCAGGATGAAGTTTTTAGATGAGTGCTGCTGCTATAAAATCTGCACCCAGAGGCTTGGAAGCAACAAGTCAACACCCTGGCTCACATCCACGCTCCTGCTTTTCTTGGGCCTTGTTTTCTGGACCCTTGGCTTTGGACTCTGACTTCTGACTACGGTTTGTGTTTTGGCTTTGGCATTTTGGTATCTGCTTTGCATCTTTTGGACTTATGATACTGGACTGGCTTATTGGACTTTTGCCTGTTGAAACCCCCGGGAATGTGACAGAGGAGGAATTAAAGAACCTCTTAATGAGGGTGAAAGAGGAGAGCGCAAAAAAGGGTCTGAAGCACAACATCAAAAAAACTAAGATCATGGCCACTGGCCACATCACCTCCTGGCAAATAGAAGGGGAAGATATGGAGGCAGTGACAGATTTTATTTTTTTGGGCTCCATGATCACTGCAGATGGTGACAGCAGCCACGAAATTAAAAGATGCCTGCTTCTTGGGAGGAAAGCGATGACAAACCTAGACAGCATCTTAAAAAGCAGAGACATCACTTTGCTGACAAATGTCCATATAGTCAAAGCTATGGTTTTTCCAGTAGCGATGTATGGAAGTGAGAGCTGGGCCATACAGAAGGTTAACCGCCAAAGAATTGATGCTTTTGAATTCTGCTGTTGGAGGAGACTCTTGAGAGTACCCTGGACTGCAAAGAAAACAAACCTATCCATTTTGAAGGAAATCTACCTGAGTGCTCACTGGAAGGACAGATGCTGAAGCTGAAGCTCCAACACTTTGGCCATCTCATGAGAAGAGAAGACTACCTGGAAAAGACCCTGATGTTGGGAAAGCGTGAGGGCAAGAGGAGAAGGGGACGACAGAGGACGAGATGGTTGGACAGTGTCATTGTTCTACCAACATGAATTTGACCAAGCTCCAGGAGGCAGTGGAAGACAGGAGGGCCTGGTGTGCTCTGCTCCATGGGGGTCACGAAGAGTCAGACATGACTTAATGACTAAACAACAAAGACTGTCCAAGGCTACATGAACTCCATTCTTTGGCACCTTGGTAGTAATGTCAAGTTATAGAAGACCACTGCTTGTTGAGGAATCTTCAGTCCTTGAAAGGCCTCTCAGAGGCCGTCCTCCAACCCACAATATGTAGTCTTTATTAGAAAATGTGGGAGGTTTTTGTTTTGGTGATTTTGCAACAGACCAATATGGTTAGTCACAGGAGCCTTTATTTTAAAAAATGTATCATTGTCTCCATTCTTCTGCTTCTCCCAGCTTTCAGCTACAGTTTTACTTTGCACACGAAAGAGTAACAAACTGTGCAGAAGATGGAAATCTAGAAATATGAGGTTGGCCTTCAAACTTAGTGGAATTTTGCATGTTCCAATGTAAAATATTTTAGTAGTGATTCATTTCAGTGTTGGAAATGTAAGATTGTTCCTACAGTGGCTCCTTCTGTGAAATTCAGACTATCTAGCAGTGCATAAATATTAGGAAGCTGTTAGCTTGGATTTAGTTCTAATTAACTATTTGCTGTTTTTATGTCTGGCTTGTAATTATCTTTTCACTTTAGTATGATTATTTTTATTTTTATTCTAGTTTGAGACTTGGAATAAAAGAAGATCTAGAAGAGCTGAAACGTGAAGAGGAGGAATTGAAACGCAAGAAGCAGGCAAAGAAGCTAAGAACTCATTAACTGATTTGCCGCTACTGATTTTCTTGTTACTCCTCCTTTGTCCCTATTCTTCTGCTTCTCCCAGCTTTCAGCTACAGTTTTACTTTGCACACGAAAGAGTAACAAACTGTGCAGAAGATGGAAATCTAGAAATATGAGGTTGGCCTTCATACTTAGTGGAATTCTGCAGCTGAACAAGAATGATCTGGAGCAGAGTTTTTCCTCAAATTCCCCTTTCCAGTTGTAATTCCCACTGCCACTTTCTGTACTGTTGTGGATCATGGGCAGCTCTGACAGTGTAGCAAGTGGTGTTGGAACTTGAAGGGAGAATCTGAGAAAATTCCCATCCCAGCACCTTCTTTTGTTAGGAGGCCTTTGCTTGGCTGTCAGTGCACTCCATGGATGGAAAAAGCCCTTAGGTTTATGGAGAGCAACTCTACATCTAAGCTGTGATTCTGTAGCTTGGTCCCAAAACACTTATTAATATCTGCCAAGGTTTTCTCTTTACAAAATAAATAATGCACTAATGGAGAATTAGTTGCAATAAATGAAAGAAATGAATGTTACTATTTTCAAAAGTAGTTCAAAGATGCTAGCAAACTACTGATAGACCGTGAACTGGCTTGCATCAAGTGGGCCCACAAATGAATAAGCCAGTCTGTATTCTTGTATTATTATTTTAAAATTAGGGCATGCTTCTGTTCTCTCCTTTAAAAGGAGAGAACAGAAGCATGCCCAAATGAACATTCACATTTTTTGTTTAAGTAAAAGACAGATTTTTTAAAATGTAACTGTTATTTTGACATCAATGTTAATCTGTACTGTGATTTCCTGTTTGAAAAGGGTTTCTGGAAAAGCAACATACTGAAAAATCAAAATTTTTGACATTACATACTTTCCTGTACAACTAGCAACTGTGAAATAAACAGTCAGCAGTATCTAGCATGCAGAAAGAGACAGCAGCAGCAGATTTGCCAGTATAAATCCCTCCTGCCTGATCTGCAAAATGAACTTGCTGACGCTAGATATAGGGCTGTTTTGCTGGCCTACTGAATTTCTTTTGGAGCCTTGGGGAAAACCCTGTGTAGTCCCAGTTAGATTGAAGTTTCCCTTGAACTGGGATTGTGCCCACTGCCTGATACTTTCCTCTCCTGCTATGCAGAAGATTGAGTTGGGCTATTTGTGTCATTTAGAAATTCTTCCAGTATGAAATAGGACCAAACTGATCACTTTGCCTCCTAGCTGAAGCCTCATTGCCAAAAAATAATAAAAATATATCCTGAAAAATGTACACTTTAATGTTTTCTATATTATTTTATGACTTTCACTTAATTAATTTTAGGAATATGTTTTAATATATATTTCCCCACTTTTCCCCTCTAGTTTTAGATTAAGTGCATATAGCGTAACACCTCCAAAGCCTACTGTACATTACAGCTGTTACTTCATCATTCCATCATATATACTGGTTTAGTCTGCATTCCAGTATTCATCTCATATGGGTGTACTTATAGTTGTTCTGAACAATCGCTTGATGCATTTGCTTGAATGATTTTTCAGGAGACATAACAGCTCTCTTAAGTTTGTCAAAAGGTTATTTCTGTTTCTGTAACCATGGGCTGATTTCAAGTTTGACACACTGTACTACAAAAGAAATGAAAGTAAATGTGTGAATGTTGTGAATGCTATAGGTTTATTATGCTCTTGAATTTCAGTTCCATTTTTAGTGTTTTATTCATGTAGCCATAATGTGAAGTCACAACAAAAAGATAGCATTACAGTTCCTCAAAATTGCATCAACCAGCTTTCTTTGGACTTTCTGTTCTTCTAAAAATCAAGACTAAAACATTTTAGATAGGCATTGGGTGTTGTGGCAGGGACTACTAAAGATGTCAAAAACTGTGGTGGAGATAACCTCTTCATAAGTATCTGGAAATAAGAAATCTGACTTTTTAATACAGTGGTAGAATGGGATGATGAATTCAAATCAGAGTATAAATGTAAAGAAAATAAGAGGAGTGATATTTCCTTTTAAAATAATGTAGCCTTTTTTGTTTAACTGTGTGTGGTTTGTGAAACCAGACAGTTGTTGCAATTAGCATGCTGCTTGACAGGAACTCTTTACTTTAAAAGTCTGTTGTGACCATGTGTACTTTACCAACATTTTGTTATAGTCAGTTAATACGCATACATATGAATTTTGCAACCATTTGTTCTTTCAAGACAATGACCGTTGGAAACATGATCAAGTTGCTGTACATTTTATAATTCTCAAGTATATTTCATCAGCCCACATAATGGGCACTACAGTCATGCCCCACTTAACGATTGCCCCACATTATGACGAATCCGCTTCATGACTATCTTTTTGCGATCGCAAAATGATGTCATAAATGGGGTTTTTTTTTTGCTTTGCGAAAATTGGTTCCCTGCTTCAGGAACCGATTCTTCGCATTACGACGATCAAAACAGCTGATCATCGGGTTTTCAAAATGGCCACCGGGTGCGCAACATGGTTCCCCGCTGTGCTTAGGGATGGATTCCTCACTATACAGGCACCGAAAATAGCCACCGTATGGAGGATCTTTGCTGAATGGTGAGTTTTTAGCCCACTGTAACACATTAACTGGGTTTTAATGCGTTTCAATGGGGTTTTTTGGCTTTACGACGTTTTCGCTCTACAGCGATTTTGCTAGAACGAATTAACGTCGTTAAGCGAGGCACCACTGTATCTTGTTATGTAAAGTTAAGCTGCCATAAACTGGATCTGGCGCCAGAAATAATTAAGGGGCACCTTGGAATCAGAAAGTGTTCTATCTCTGCTTTCAGGTTCTGCTGTAAGGTTGCCTTTTGCCCAGGGGAAGCCTTTGAGGGCCTTAGGATAGGGACAAAACAGCCTTTAATGGTCAAAATTGCTGCCAGCTAACTACTGCTGGAATTAGGACTGCTGATGGCTATTCAGCTGTGCTTTTTTACTATTAAAGCCACCCCACTCAGGAGCTTTAGAATCTGAAAGGGGAATTGGAAGCTTTCATTTTCAATTATTTCCAGTAACAGATCCAGTTTACACCGATGTAACTTTACAAAACAGGATTGTGCACAATGTCTTCAGCAAATCACAGAATTATAATACAACTCTGTATGGCCCAGAATCCTAACAACTTTTAAAAATCCATATGCATGTTTTAACCACATTTTGCAGATTTAAATCAAGACTGTATTCTGAAACTCTTCAGTGTTACTTGCCTTGTGGAAGGTGACTTGAAAGACTGAACTGTACTATCAATCTTCATAATTTTGCTCTTTTAATAACAATTTGACATTTCATACAGCACCATGAATACTAGTGTCACATTCTAAATACAGAGTATTATAGTAGTATTATTATTTCACATGACACACTATCGAACATTTGCATTCTTGTTTAGAGAAATACTTTCCTCTTCATCTTATTTCTTCCTCTTGAAAGCAGCTGCTGGATGGTGTCATTAGTCAAGTAGAATATTCAAGTTTTCTCCTGAGGTACAGAAAACATTAAAACAGAGAGAAGTTGGAATATATTCTCTTCTTGGTGTGAAATATTGTTGGTGACTCCATAGACTGCTATAGCAAAACTATGGGTTGGTTGCAGGTTCTCTCCAGTGGCTAGAAGATGTGCCTTTTACACATTTATGCCTTTTCCAGGAATGTAGGAATAAGGACAAAGAGTTAATTCTACTGTTTAAAGATGTGTTGAAGCTTGACAATGTGAATTGAGTTTTTAATAAATCACTTCCACGTCTTGCTTAGCACAACTATAGTAGTTAATATTTATTGATATTACTAAATAAACTTAAGGGCACTTTGTATTTAATTAAAATACTTCATTCTACTGTTGTCTTCTATGTATTTTACTAATGCTGTACTTAGAATTTTTACAGCAGTTATCAGAGGCCAGAACAGTGTGTATCATGAAAAAGCTTTAGTGAAGAACCTCAATCTGTTTTTCTAAAACAGAACTCTAAAAATTTGTAAAACCTTATTTTTATATAAACTCCCATTTTAATCTAAAATAATTAAAATTTTATCTGGCTTTTGTGTTCTGTAACATTAATTATCCCATAACTAAATTGTATTTCTATACAGTATATGTAGTAGGAGGCCAAAACACACTGGAAAGAAAAAACAGTCTTGAAAAGACTAGTGAATAAATTGTGCTGATTATGTTGGATTTCTATTTATTTTGTTGAGTCACAGTAATACAATCAAATATTCATGTCTGAGGATGCTTTTGGAGTCCATGTTATGTTTTTGTGAACCTCATTGTGTTCAACACAATGTGACAAATCAGGTAAAAACTGTCAAGCATAACTGTTTTTTCTGGTGCCACGGAAGTGTATGCTTTTGCACATACGGAGTGCAGTCTGAAGCAAATTATGTATATAATAAATTGCAGATATTAAACTTTTCATTGAATTTTCATTGGTTTGCTTTAATTTGAAGGGGATATTAAAGTACCATAGTGCTCCCTTCTACAAGAGTTTGTAAAGTACATTGTTCCTTAATGTTATCCCTGAGGAAAAATGCTTGAATATATTCTCCCAAATGTCTGAATTGTGCACAGGATGCTATGATTTGGCGTACTTTATTTCAAACAGGTAAGATAAAAATAGCTGAGTCATGAAATGAATCCAATACAAGAAGTTCTACAGTACTTAGTTGACTAGCCCACTATATGTCGTATTTCTTAGTATAATAAGTTGCCACTAAAGTAGGAGCACAGAATTACTGGAACTTACGGAGATGACTCACCAAATCCTCACTGATTCAGCAAGCCTATCTTAGATATGACTTACTGTGCTAAGCAATAGGATTTCAACCAAAGGCTGAAATCCAGTATTAACTTGCAACTAGAATAGGCCCATTGAATCAATGGGGATTTGGTGAGTTAATTCTAATTGATTCAATATGCCTATTGGTGTTGTGACTACACTGGATTTCTGCCAATGTATCTCTTCTTTTTGCCAAAATCAAAGGCAAGTTACATATGTTTGGAAACATGCCTAAATCATCAGAGGCAATATATTAAAATGTATGGTATGGAAAAGAACAATAAACAGAATATTCGACTATTCCACAGACCTGCAGAACACAAGATTCTTGCTGCCTTTTCTAAAAAATCTCAATAGGCAGAACTTGTTGGATTTGCTTATGGGATTGTAAATAATCTCCCTCAGCCTACCCTGTAATTGAGGAGGCACGTGATTGGTGAAAAATGGCTTATAAAATTATATATACAGAAAACACACTGTTAAAACTTCAAAATGTAGAATGTTCATCTTTTAAAAATGAACATTGGTTCAATTCTAATGTCTGTCCAGATGTAAAGTTTGTACTGCTTTTCTGTGCTTGAGAGAGGCAAGGTGGTATCGTATGACAAAGCCACCAAGTAAGCCACAAAGTTAATTTTAAGAGGCCATAAACCCATTACTTGTGTGAACATTGCATCACTGTGTTCAATACTATATTAATAAGCTTCTAAGCAGTCCTAGAATTTACTACTCTTCTAAATAGCACACCTGAAAAATCTTCTGTGTTCTTCATATAAATGGAAATTGTGAGCTGGACTGTATTTCCAATACACAAGATGAATTAATGTTTGTCACCTTCCTTCTTTGCTGGTTCAGCCTGCAAATCAAACATACAGGATATTACAAATAGGTTTGGAGAGAGGTAGTTTTGTCTGACCTACATTTATTCAAGAAATCTTACTGTGAGGCACAGGACTAGGTTCAAGAGATTGAGATTCAGATGGATGTTTAAAGCATACAGACACAAAAACGTAACAAGTAACAATTGTTTAAACGTCTTTTCTGTTGTCTGCTCAATAACCAATAGGACTGGCTTGTACTCAGGCCTAAACCTGAAATTTCAGGCCTTCGTAATTGTGTGCAAAGAAGAATATAGTTATCCTATTCGGATATGTGTTGTGCAAATTAAACATAATTGGTCTTGAACCATATTTCCTGCTATATTTTGTGACTTGATCATTCCTCTTGATTTTCTCCTTCTTGGGTGTACATTTAAATGTGATGAAGTGGTTTGAAGGTGTTGGGGAAGTTGGAAGCAGTGCCATCAGGGAGCTAGATTCTTTTACCAATCTGGACTCCTAGCAGGGTCACCCAGGATGAAATGATCAAAGCTGCGACAGCAGACTAAAATGCAGTCACCCTCTTTAGGATTAAAAGTAACATCAGCAGAAAATAATGGATAATTCCAATGGTGACGGGAGCAAAGAAACTCTTGAAGAACAGCTACTGGACAGCAGGAGTAATGGAAGGTGAGATGGGCAAAAAGTCTTTCACAGATAATGGTAATGACACTCAAGCTGAATCTTCTTAGTACTGTGCAGAAGAAATCAATGGTAAACCGCTGCTGAATATTGGGAAGAGCAAAAGTCTAGTATGAATTGTGCTGTCACGATGCAAATAGATTAAAGATATAGGAACATCCGATTCCTGCTATGCATAGTGTGCAAAGGAAAGTCTAATGCTGTACAACACATATAACTGGAACATGTGAAATACAATTATATCAAAGTATAATAATTTTACTAATGTATACGGTACTTGAATCTGGAAAGGAAGAAATTGAATGTTTAAACACTGCAGTACTTGGTGTGAGTATATGGAAGTAGGTTGGACTTAGGACATTTTAAGTCAGACAATTACAACGTATTTTACTCTGCCAATGATAAATCCAGAAGAAAATGTTTGGTTGTAATAAAGTGGTGCCCTGCTTAAGGATTACCCCGCTCCACGACGAATCCACTTAACGATGAGGTTTTTGCGATCGCAAAACAATGTTTACATGGAGAAAATCCGCTTGACAACGATCAGTTCCCTGCTTCGGGAACTGATTTTTTGCTAAACGATTATTAAAAACAGCTGAGTGGCAGCTCTCAAAATGGCCGCCCGCTGTGCAAAATGGCTCCCTGCTGTGTTAAGGACCAATTCCTCGCTCTACAGGCACCAGAAAATGGCCACCCTATGGAGCAGTGAGGTATTTCGCCCATTGGAAAGCATTGAACGATTTTCAGTGCATTTCAATGGGCTTTTTACTTTCGCTTGACGACGACTGACTTCTACAGCAATTTTCCTGGAATGGATTACGCCCGCTGTGCAAAATGGCTCCCTGCTGTGTTAAGGACCAATTCCTCGCTCTACAGGCACCAGAAAATGGCCACCCTATGGAGCAGTGAGGTATTTCGCCCATTGGAAAGCATTGAACGATTTTCAGTGCATTTCAATGGGCTTTTTACTTTCGCTTGACGACGACTGACTTCTACAGCAATTTTCCTGGAATGGATTATTGTCGTCAAGACTTCTACAGCAATTTTGCTGGAACGGATTATTGTCGTCAAGCGAAGCACCACTGTACTGAGGCAAGATGTAACATAGGTAACTAGGATAGTGCAAAGACTGACCAAATAATACCAATCAGACTTCTTGGGAAACCAGTCATTGCAACCATCATTCACATCTCTGCTCCAACTACAGATGCTGAAGTAGAAGAAATTGAAAAGTTTTATGCAAGTACCACAGGAAGCTGATCATACATGAAAACAGAATGTGCTGATTAATATAGTGACTTGAACATAAAAGTAGAACATAAAGCAGAACCAAAGATTGTTGGGGAGTTTGGTGAAAGAGAAATTAAGCAAGAGAATGATTCATAGCATTCTGTGAAGCCAACAACTTGCTTATTAAAATACATGCTTCAGGTAATAAGACAGCTGTATCCGGGTAGTGAGTATAGTACTTAAAGCCTTGTAAGGAGACTCCTCTTCCCTCCTGCCAGGAGTAGCTAGCCAACCGGGCTCCGGAGCGATTGGAAGGAAAAGCGGGGCCGCTGCTACTGGCAGACATGTGAGTGGATTAACTCCAGCTGTGCAGGGATATTCATATTTGAATACCCCCATATCTAATAGTAAGCAAAGAGGCTATGTAATCAGAAGTAGTAGATGGAGAAACTGTATTCTGTCTGCCAAAACTAGACCAGGAACAGATTGTGATACTGACCATAAATTGTTAGTATCAGAAATTAGAGTGAAACTGAAGAGGAACATTAGAAGAATCATAGTGCAAAACAAAACAAAAAATTCTGATTAATTTAAACTCCATATAAAGGCATTATTAAAATCATCTGACCATGAACCAGAGGATATATGGATGGAAACCAGAGAGATCAGGGAAGATGCAAGAAGATTATTTCATTAGTCAAAAGGAAACAAACATCGGATGAATGACTAAACTTAAAATAGTTAAAGAGAAATGAAAATCAGAAGTAAAAGATGACAGAAATAAGGTCAAAATCCTGAATGCAACCTTTCAGCAATTGCAATGTAGAGGCAAAGAGAACTATTAAAATAATTAGTGCAAGGAAATAGACAAACAAAAGAGGAAAAACAAGAAATCTCATAAACTCCAAGATATATAAAAACAATTATACCTAGATTATGGATGCTGAAAGAACAAGGGAATATATTATCTGTCATAAATTTGGATTTAGACTTTTGAGTCTGTGGGAAACTCTGTTAGGAGATTTCTTAGCAGAATAAACAAAATGTTCCTGTGAATTTCTAAACTCACCATATTATTCTACTCTCTGGAGGAATAAACCAGGCAGAGGGCTAAAAAAAGGTTATTACATTTATTTAGAAAACATTTGTTAGAAAAGCCCATCCTACATTAAATAGGAGACCATGTCTCGAGGCCAGAGCACATGACCCAGAGAGGGTTTTTTTTTTAGACTTGGGGGGGGAGAGATTTTAAGAAGATAAGATGGAAATGGCAAATTTTTACTCTTTAAAAGGAGCAATAGGACAGTGAGATAGCCAATGAATGGAATAGTTACAACCTACCCTTTCTTCCAGAATGCCCCTATTAGGCATCCCTGGGGAAAGGGACAAAAGAAGTGATGTACTAGGGGATTCTTCTAACATTATCTGACCAAGATAAAATAAAGAAATTATGGAAACATTGACTGACATCCAGGTAAAGTTACAACATGTAAGCCAAAAAAAGTTGGACTTCAATTCCCATCAACCCCAGCCTACATAGCTACTCAATAGGTAAGGTATTATGTGAGCTGTAGTTACAAACTTCCAGTACCAGATATTATATTGTCCCATATTTTTTCATTACCATGATTTTGTGTGTGTGTGTTTAACTTATTGGAGGTAGATGTGGGTTATGTTGGGTTCTAGGCATGCTCAAATGACTCATATCCCTCAATGGATCAGGACCTATGAGAAAAGTCTTGATTTCTTATGATGTGGATGCTTTTCTAGACTGACAAAAAAACCTGGATTGAACCCATTTCAGATATCTGGAACTCAAAACTCTTTGAGCTTACATCAGACTACAAACCAAAACTAAGGTCATTTGTATGACATTTCCATATTATATTTCAAAATATACTCACCTTAGTTTTTGGAATTTTCTGTATCAGCTCTGAAACCAGAAGGAAGATCAGCCATGTAATGACAATCATTGTGACTCACTGGGTTTTGCCACTTACAGAATATAACTTGATATGGCTGGTTTTTAAGGATAAAAAGACAGCTTCGGATATCTCCTTGTGATTGACTGACTGTACATAGATCAGTACTTCAGTTTTATTACTGACTCTGTGATGCATCTGACTGTGCAGTGAACTTAGTTGTGACATCATTGTCTAAGTAAGAGTTGTCCCAAGCATTGTGACATCACCAGAATATTTCTCTGACTAATCCAAAAGCCTCTCAAATGGATGATACCAGAATAGCCAAAGCAGGAGGCAGTGTTTTTTTTTAAAAAACTTTTATTTGGTTTTTTGATATTGATGTAGTTCAGGATTTATGAACAGAATCCAATGGGGGACATTTCATTATATATTTTTTTAAAGAGCACTTTCCCCTCCTTCACTCCCGAAATCTGCTGTGGAGGGCTTGGAAATCCTCTACAGATAGATTTCAGGTGGTATCAAGAGGGGCGAACACAGGAAGAAAGGCCCATCACACAGACACTGCTCATTGGATTTAGGCTTATGTGTAGAAAATGGTTCTAAATTAACATGAGAATTGCATAGAAAGAAGCCTTCTATGAATAGTACAAGAATAATCAAATCAATACATTTATTGTTTCTGGTTAGGGATAAGGCCTTATGGATGTCTTGGATCTCAACTATCCTTACAATGAACATTAAGGACAAAGGTCTTTGCTTGCTTGTGGGAGGCAAAGTGCTTTCACAGTGTTTTCCAAAGTGGAGGGGTGGATTCTACTAAGTATTCCAGACAGTATGCCGCAAATAAGCCTTCATCTACGTATTTTTTGTGAGAGGAAGTGGGTTAAAATAGCTTACTCTGTGCTAAAGGTGTTAAAATGTAGAGCAGTTCAGATCCCTTACATCAGTGGTCCCCAACCGTGGGCCTCCAGATGTTCTTGGACTACAACTCCCAAAAGCTTTCACCACCACCTCTGCTGGCCAGAATTTCTGGGAGTTGAAGTCCAAGAACATCTGGAGGCCCAAGGTTGGAGACCACTGCCTTACATGGCACGAAAAGCCAAAGTATCTAACAATAGAGAAGAAACATTTCATGCAACACTAACAGCATCTGTTAGAAATTGCTCTGCAAGATATGCCCATAATGCTGAGGACCACACACTATTGAACTGGTGCATTTCAACATGTTTGATATGACATACAGACTGGCTTTTAATGCAAGCATCTGTGGCTATGGCTTTTTCTTCAAGCAAGCTCCCCCTGAGTGACTGGCTGTCTGTTTTTTTTAAAATGGATTGTTGTGTCTTATTGCTTTTAATGTGTTTTTGGTGTTGCTGCTATTTACTGTCTTTTAGTGTATTATTTGTCTGATCCTTTTTAGTACTTGTATACTTATCTGTGAAGATTCTCAGTCATTGAGGTGAGGTTATCTGAAAGTTGAGTAATGGCAATTGGACTTACTAGGTTGAAAACCTAATAAGTCCACAGTTAATGACCCATAATAATGGGTGGAAATTAATTGCAGAGGTGGGATTTTCACTCACCCTCAGTCCTTTGTCCATTTAAGGACCCTATTCAGACCAAAGGGAAGTGAAACCAATCTAAAGGTAAAGGTTCCCCTTGACATTTTTAGTCCGGTCGTGTCCGACTCTATGGGGCGGTGCTCATCCCTGTTTCCAAGCCATAGAGCCAGCGTTTGTCCAAAGACAATCTTTCCGTGGTCACGTGGCCAGTGCGACTAGACACGGAACGCCGTTACCTTCCCACCGTGGTGGTCCCTATTTATCTACTCGCATTTACATACTTTTGAACTGCTAGGTTGGCAGGAGCTGGGACAAGTGATGGGAGCTCACTCCGTCGCGTGGATTTGATCTTACGACTGCTGGTCTTCTGACCCTGCAGCACAGAGGCTTCTGTGGTTTAGCCCGCAGCGCGTTATGTATATCAGGGATCTCCTACCAACTCTCCTCAAACTGAAGAAGCTACTTGGATGAGCAGCTAAATGTTTCAACGCAATAAGAAGTCCAGTTGACTCAACTTCCAGATAGACGCAATAAGAAAGAAGTCCAGTTGACTCAACTTCCAGATATTGTATAGTTTTTAACTTGAAATATTGTGTTTGAATGATGTGAGCCATCTTGGGTCCTTCTTGAGGAGAAAGGCAGGGTAAAAATCTTTCAGATCACCTATCTACTCAGAGACAGTGTCGAACACTTCCCTCCTCTGGCAAAGCCCACTCAGACAAGGAGGCAGGGCAGGAAAGCCCACAGTTCTGTCTCTGAGTGGCGACTGATCAATCAGAGGAGGTAGAGCAGGGAAATGTGCTGCTGCCAGTGAGTGGGTGATCACCCGGTGGGGGAGGAAAGCATACAGCATCTGCAGAACGCCTGTGCAGATGCTGTGCCAAACCGCAGTTTGTGTTCATCACTATTTTTATGTATAAGTTTTATATTTAATTATTTTCAATATTGCAATCATTTATTTTAGCTTTTACTTTGTTTCTTTTAATACTGTACGTTGCCGTGGATGAAAAGGCAGCAGATAAACATTTAAAATAAAGAATAAAGCTGAGTAAATAAATAATAAAGCTCAGGATGCTTACAGCCACTCTCCTCTTAAAGGGGAAGCATGGATTGTTTTAAGTAGAAACACAAATGGACAAGATTTTTTTTTCATGCCAAACACTGCTATCAGGGAGCCATACATCATAACTATATGCAAGCATGGACAGGCTTTTAATATTGTCTTCACATAAGTAGGTAAGAACTCTGGGGATTCCAGCCTGTTGCTAATCATGTTTCCTTGAAGCTAACCTCATAACTTTTTGTGCTGCTATATTGTATAAATAGCTACAAACATTTCATTTAAATAATGAGAGTTTTGGAAGTTAAACTGTGGGTACCAATGCACTGTAAACGTTCATATGGCTGCAAGAGACAGGTTTGTGCTCCCAAAATTACTCCACGGTATTATATTAAACTTTTACAGGAGCAAAACTGGTCTGTCGGTATTTCCAGGTTTGTACAGCAATTTCAGCAAATGAAATGCTGCAGTCCAGGACGGCAAATCTTAGGAAAATCCTTTATGACCCAAGATAACAAAACCAGGAGCGGCGATGCAGCTGAAGCTGTGTTGTTAACGTATAAAATGCATGCGCCGCTTCCAAGTCATGGCAAACTCCCCGCAACTTGAGCCGGCATACCTCCTGGTCGAAGGTGAGGGGCGTGAAATACAGCAGCAGCTGTAGGGCTCCAAGCCCCACAGCCCTCCTTCACACAAGCAAAGGGGGGGGGCACGGTGGTAGCGGGCTAGTCCAGGAGCAAAGCGAACCGCTTTAGGCAAAGCTGTGCTGACAAGACCCGTCACCACTCGCAACACCACACTTGTAGGAGTGTGTTGCCTCCCAGGTGGGAGTACATCTGTCCTTGGCTGCCAACCCTGCCCAACCGGCTCGGTTCCAGTTCGGGTACGGAGTCACCCCTCAACGCCGACCAAGTAGATCGGTGGTGCAGCGTCGAGGTTGAATACAGCAAGTGCAAATATACGCGCCTCCATTTCTGGAGGATGCCTCGCCTCTTCCTCCGGATTTAAAGCCAAGCAACCTGAGAGCCCAGGCGCCGGACGCCCCTCTGAGCGGCTCCTCGCGTTAGTCACCAGGTGAGGGAGGAAGAGAAGAGGCAAGGCCGAGGCGTTCTCTCGGCAGGGCCCGGCCCGGCCCTTTTAAAGTAGTACACTTAGCGAAGGTTGGCCCCTAGCGC